GTTTTTAAAAATATTAATTAGAATGTTAGGCTTTTGAAAAGTTTAAGAAGACGACTTATCATACACTAACTCCTTAGATATATATATATATATATATATATATATATACACACATTGGTAATTATGCACTATATATGGTTGAACAAGATATTATTGGTGAGTTGTTCTTTAATTTTGAAAGAGCAATAAAAATCTAACTAGCTTTCTTTTTGCAAGCTCCAATATATATTTGTTCGGTCATCCAAATGAAACCTGCGACCTTGCAAATGAAATAATCCATGACCTTCGGGAAAAGAACAAAGAATGATCGTCTCAGCTAGAAAAAGGGCCTGCTAGATCTGGAATCAGAGAACCAATAAAAAAAAGGCAAGATGGGTTTGGCAACCAAAAACATCACTTCATTTTGTATGGTTGGCATACGGACGTATAAATATCAGTTTTTTTACTTGTTCTAAGTCCATGTAATCTTTTGTGGTTTTGTTACTTTTATCGCTTTGCATCTCCAACATTTTCTTTATCGACACTTAATGACTGGTTAATTTGTAAGGTTTCTGCTTATGTACTGTTTGCTATTGAGGATTTGGGTAATTCATGCTTTGAGATTTAACTATACTTCTAATTTTAGAATTTAGACCGAAGTTTTTTTTTCCATTTAACTTTAGTCAGCGTCTGACGAATTTACAGGGGATGTAAATTGCCTCCATGCCTTTTATTCTTTCCTCCTTGTCGAAGATAGAATGAGCTAACAAGTCCTTGAACCTTGATTTATTCATCAAATTATACTTCGGCAAATTCAGCGTGGGTTTAGGATTATTGTCTAGTGCTGTGTGATGCGTACTCGACAATAACAGCAACACCGAAGATTTGTTCACCGTTTTTTTGTCACCTCTATTCTTACTCACCCAAAATGCCCAAAAGAACTCTCTATCCTCCTATTAAGTGCACCTTTAAATATCCCTACATCTTTGGTTGGTGGCATTGGTTATTTCTTAGTTAAATTATCAAAACATATTAAATTTGAGAAACTTCTATAAAAAATTAGGAATAACAAAGAATTAATATTTAATTTTTTATAACATTAATAAAGAATGAAAAAATGTCTATTCCTTATAAAAAATGGAAGGAATACATATTTTTCATTTGAAAAATGACTAGTATACAATCGGTAGAATATCCCTCTTCAACCAAGAGTCCCACATTGGTTAGAAAGGGAATCTTGGAGTGACTTTTAAGGCTAACACCCCTAACTGAAATTTATGCATTTTGAAAACCAGGAAATCTAATGGGCTAAAGTAGATAATGTCCATGGTGGTTTATGGGCCATTACAAATGGCATCAGAGTAGCTCTACATGTCCTCTTGAAAGGTGGTTGGGGGAGAATGTAATAACCCTCCCATGTGAGGTCTAGTGGGTCAAAGTGGACAATAATCATGGCGGTTGGTGGGTTGTTACACTCACTTTAACATTGTTTTTTACATTTGTTTTGATTCAACTATTAAAATATAATAGAAATATAATCAATTTAACTAGTATTTGCATCCTATATGTATGATTGATTTTTAAGTTTGTTTATATTTAATTTCAAACTAAAAAAGTAATTTTTTAATGAGTATATTGTATAATATATTAAACCAAAATGTATATCAATATATATCCTTCTCATTTATTCGTTAGTTTAGTAGAAAATTATAGGATAAATACCAATTTTAGTCCCCAACCTTTACCATAAATACGAGATATTGTCCCAACCTTTCATTTGGACCAAAAATAGTCCCAAAGCTTTTTAAAATTACTAAACTTAATTCTAACTGTAGTATTAGCCGATTAAGCACCAAACTGATTTGCAGATTTATGAGCTCTAGCTGAAACCGGCACCATATGGGAGTGTATGAGTTTGAGAATTGTAAAGTAATATGAAAGTGAATTAAGGTATTTATGTACATCATTATTGGGGAACCAAAGAAACGTTGAATGTATATTTAAAAAAAAAAAAATTTAATGGTTAATTAGTATGGGTCAACTTTCATGTATCATACTAAGTTTATTAGAATTATTTTCTTATATTTAATCAAAAGTGAAATTCATGATGAGGTTAGGAATTTATGAAAAATCACTTATTAATCTTTCCATAAAATTGAACATTAAGATGAAAAACAAATTCTTACCAACTTGTCTACAACCACTTCCATTACTTTTAAAGATAAAACAAAGACAAACTTGAGGACATCAAATTTCACAAAACGAAGCACATGAAAGTACCAACCTAGTCGGGCAATATTACAATCTAACTATAGCATAAGCCTATATGGGAAACCAAATCAAACTTCACCATATTAATCTTCATCATATTAATCTTCCTTAATCTTCCACGGCTCCATGTAAGGGGTATAGATATGGTCACACAAGATTTTGTTAAATCCATACACCATTTGTTTAGTTTGATCAATATTTTAATAATTTTATTAGTTTGTTATTGTTTTTTTAAATAATTAGTTATGATGTTTGAAAATATATGTTTATAAATTGATTTCAAATTATCATATAATAAATATTATATGTTATATTATCAATTAACAATTACAATTATTAACTATTATTAAAAGTCAAATTGAATACAATTCTCATTGCGTTTTTGGCTCTAACAATTCCTTGGATGGCCATAACCATGGCCCCATGTAAGGGTAGCTTTGACCCTGTATGCCCTTGCAATGAGGGCACCAAACAGTGCTGTTATGCAATCAAGCACCATCTTTGCTCTTACCAACTTATACAGACTATAGACTGATAAGGCCTTAATTGACAAAATATTTCATGTAAAAACTTGATCAAAGAATATGGGCTGGACTGATCCAACTCAATGAGGGCAAGCAGTTTATCTTACCGGACTCATCCCTTGCCCCATGCGCAGGAACAATTCTGATAACGTACGAGGCTATGCCAAACAGAAACAAGTGGAAGGAGCCTTTCACCCATGCGGTCGCTGTGATTAGGCTTCTCATTGAGAAGCAAGTGAGAGCACCCTTGGTTCTTCAGGTTCTTCAGGTTGAGTCCCAAGCTCAACATTTCCCCATCCCCTTAGGTTTTTTTTTTATACAATTGATAAAGCTAATTAATTAATGACGCAAGAATGCTACACCCGACGTGTTTTCTTCCAAGAAAGTGATGAGACCAGGTGGAGGCGAATCAAAAACTGTGGTTCCAGTAGGCAAATTATGCCCAATTTCAGCCATAAAGTCTGTAGCACGATTACCCTCACGTAGGGTATGCTGTATGCTAAAGGCAATAAATCCTCCTTTCAAACGACGGATATCGTCCACCAGCATTGCTGCTAGGCTATCCTGTTCCTTGGATCCTTCAATAACCTGCACCGCCGACAAGGAATCCATCTCCACGACTTAATGACTAATCCCTTTGTTCCTACGCAAAATCAGTCCATAACTCTGCCAGGAAAACCGAGATTTGACCAATGTTCACTGAGAAACCTTGAATAAAGGTTCCCGAAGAATCGCGCAACAATCCACCGCACTTGCCAATCCTGTCTCCTGCATTCTAGAGCCATCCGTATTCAACTTGCAAAAAGGTGGATCCGGTCGATGCCAACTTATCCAAATAGGGACTTTTGTTTGCACAAATATGTTGCTGGCCATTGCCTGATAAGTATCTAGTGCATAGCTACTTACAAAATCACAAAGTCTAGGGGCTGACAAATTAGCAGTTCTAAATATCATATTATTCCTACACTTCCATAATTGCCATATGGTGGAGAGGAAAAGAATATCAGTGGGCATACATCCATTTTGTACCAGGGCTAGCTTCCTTGAGTTACTCTCTATCCATTTTGATAAGGGCAATTGGAAAAAAATCCTGTCCCCCCAAGACGACTTTGTTCCATACCTGAACTGCATATGGACAATCTCGTAGGAGATGCAATGGAATTTCAATTGCATCATCACATCGAGGACAATAAGGTGATACAGCGATATGTCGCTCATAACGGCCAGCATTAATAAGCACTCTGTTACACAATACTAATACTACCAAAGTAATTCCTACTTTCAGAAAAAAAAAAGAAACAAGTGGAAGGA